GGTGGAGGTGGTGGAGACTGCTCTGGACATTCACAAGGTCACCACCAGAGTCCTGACAGCTGCGCTCCCTGTGGAAACAGCTGTACCACGGCTTGGATAAGACAAAACAGTGCAAAAAAGAAGAAGAAGAAAAAAAATCACTCATGCAGAAGAATATTGAATGGAGAAACAAAGACACTGAAACCCTAAGGTGCTGAGATTAAACTGTCAGAGAAGCAAGCATCCTTTGTGTCTGCATTAACCAAGCCACATTTTACTATCACCAGCAGGGATTTAGATTCAAGCTTTCAGCTGCCAATGATTTATTCTGATCTAGGGAAATCAGCAGAATCTGCTTTTTGGAGCCAGTCATTGAATAATCTCACAACACATTCAGAGAAGTTCATCAAGGACAGCACTAGCATTCCAGCTGTACAGTTCTGTATTAGTGAGTGATGTTTAACTGTATACTGGGTTTGATTAAGTCACACTGTTACGTTCTACTCCTGCTGCCACCACAGGCCAGAGGGAATTAGCATGTAAACACAGTATATCATCTCAACTTGTTCTTCTGTGTACACAATTGGGTTTTAATAAATTCACGGAAACCAAATATTAAAATAAAGCAACTGCACAACGATTGTTGGGAATATCTATAAATGGTGCTTTTTGGTGGTTCCCAAATACTGGTGAATGTTGAAAGCTACATACAACTGCTGTCATTGGTCCTTCAGGCCTTGTTTTAGGAAAGCCCATTACGCTTCTGTGTTTGAATGCTACAGATAAACAGCTGTAAATCAGCCTCATCAAGATGGCATTTTCCTGGCAGTAACAGAAGCTGAGTGGGAGTCTGTATAGTGAGAATGTATATTGGATGCTCAAAAACCCATCCCAAAGCACTGGAGGCAAAGTGAAGGACAATATCCTAATGTCTGACTTTCAGAGTGACCCTGGTTTGTAGGGTTTTCAAGTTCTGCAACTCACAGTGCTCACCTGTAGTTTTCCAATTTCCCTCCTTGGTTTTTGCAGCATGTGCTATTTAGAGCCACCTTTAAAACACATTTAGAAAATTTAGATTATGATGAAGTCAACTGTTCCCATTTTATACATTCTGTACAGTACAGACTGGAATAAACATGTAGCATATTTGATCAGGTTTCTGCACCTGCTTCCTATCTGCTTTTATTAGCCCAAATAATGAAATTTAACCTCAAATGATGAGGGTGCTGCTATTTCCGAGACTATATCCAACACCAGCATCCAGTAGAGAAACCTCGATCACCTCGTATGCTCCAACTTTACATTCTGAGATGTGAAGATGGTGTAACCACTGGCAGCCTTTTCTCTTGGGTCCTTCTGTCCAAGACTCTTGGCGTTCATTTGGAATGATTCGTGCCCAAATCTCAAGATCTTCTCAAGACTTCTTTAGTATTTATTTGATTTTTTCATTATTTATTTTTTTTTCAGAAAAGGTATCTACATCTTGTGTTAGTGTTTATGACTAAGAGAAGACCACTGCTATTGTAACAGGTCAATTGCCACAGGAGCTTAGCAAAGTAATGAGCAAATAGCCTGCAATCATCTCTTCTTACGCTCATCACATCCTCAAAGGTACCTGCATCACCTACGAAGTTTCTCTTTTCATTCCTTTCTATTTTAGAAATAGAACAGCAGAAACAGAGAAGCATAAAATTACTTTATATTCATGGTGCACTAAAAAATCTTCCCAGCTTTTAGGATTCCTGCACATAGAATTTTGTGGATCTCTTGCTTTTGGGATTTTTGTCACATAGTGTTTCACCACTTAGCAAATTCAGAAGTGTGCCAACAATAGTTTGTAAATGTTACTGTTATTTATTTATAGCATTAATATAGGCAAAGGAGAATGCTTGAATTTGAAGGAATTTTTCATTGAAAGATAACATTACAGCTTTTTCAAAGCTTACTACTTATTATTTTCTGTCCTCTCAGGAAGCATTTCTTGCTTCTCTGAAGAATGAGGCTGGACTGTATTAAATTCTATCCTGTTTGACAAGTAACTGCAGTGACTGATACTGATTTTTCTCACTTTGCTGATTTTACTTACACTGCCTGTTGGTTTAATGCTCTGAGAGATTTTTATAAAAGAAATACTTTTCACATGCAAAGTAGTTATTCTAGTTTTATAGAATTATCAGAAGGACATATATTTACATATAAATATATTTAAAGTAGTCTTCCTGTTCTGAAAATTAAATAATCCAATGGACCAACTAACTTGATCAACAGTACTAGAATATGGAGATATTAGAATACGAAGATATTCTAGTATGAAGGCACTTTTGCCCATTGCACATTGCCTACTTCACCAGTGAAAGCCAGCTGGCTGTTGAAGCTCACAGCAAAACACCCATTTGTACTGAGAGAAGAATTCACAAAGGGAGGCCAGGAGATGAACCTGTGTCTGTATTTGCATGAAAGGCAGCAGAAACAAACTATGCATTGTTTGTGACAAACATAGCTGCCTCTTAAATGATACCCCGTGACTGTCTATGCTAATGGGCACCTTTGGGCAAAAAAAATTATGTTAATACAACCTCTGCTCTGCCTTCCTTGGAACAGCCACTTCTGGAACTCTGCTTCCATCCTGATATACCTGCAGCTTGTAGCCAAGAGCAGCTTCCTGCAATTTATTAAATTAGCTCTTTGAAAGAATCCCTTAAAAATATTCTTTCCAAGCAATTTTCTTCCTAGTAAGTCTTGGTCAGTGTGCCAGGGCAGTGCAGAAGTGCACAGCTGAAAGCACACAAGGATGGCTTGAGTGACAGGAGGTGTTATGCACTGGGAGTGGAACAGAACTGCCTTTGAGCTTTTTCTTTTTATATTCTCCCCTAAATGAAACAGCTCAGATGCAGCAGAAAGGTTTTTTTCCTATATCCTTCCCACCCCCAGCCCTGATCTTACTACTGAGTGGTGAAAAACGGCAATTTCTGTAGGAAAAAAAATAATAACAAGAGTAGCTGACATGAGCTAGAGGTCTGATATTAACCATTTCGGGGCAGTGCTCGGTTCAGTGGCTCCATGTTTATAAGCTCTGCCTTAGACAGCCATTGACTGAAATCACATCAGGTGAATGAATGACTTCTTTTCCCACTGCTAAGAGAAAGCCACCTGGGAGAGCAGCAGACTAACAGAAAAAAACAGAAGAAAACTGTACTCGGCAGTGAAAAGACACACGCAATTCAGCCCATTCCAGAGCAACAAGCATTATTCCTTAAGCTGCACAGCACCAAATTCTTAACACAACATTGTTGTTTAAGTCTTCCCCTCCCCCCCCTTTAAAAAATCTTTTTCAGAGGAGGTTGATACAGTATAAGTCTTGATAAAAGACTAACTAATCACTTTTCCTAGGTTACCAATGGCAACCAGAGGCAAGAACCATCCATGAGTGACTTGGCACAAGCTGGCAAACTGACGGGCATGTGCATTGGTTCTCTATGAAAAGAAGCAATAGTTCCACAAAAGCAGATTGCAGTTGATAAAAAAGAGGACCAAACTTAAGATTAACAACCAATATGTTTAGTCAGCCAGCCACTCCCAGCAATGAGGCTACTGCATGCCTAGTTTTTTCATTTGCTTTGTATACAGCATTCAAAGCAATTAGTGTTATGACTTTGCTATCACTGTCAACTTAATTGGATACTTATGTCACCTCATGCTATTGTATTCCATTACCATGAAAATGAAGCAAAAATTTCATCCTCTTGTAACATTGAAAAAAATGAAAATAAACAACTGAAAGCAACATAATAGTGTCTTTCAACACCATTTGTTCCTGAATAGGAGAAGCCAGCTGCTGGGCAGGTAGTAAACCCCTCCTGGGTTTTGTGTCTGGCAGCCTGCTTATAATGTGATACTAATCCTTCAATTCATACTTCAGCTAAACATATATTAAAAACATGAGAAATGTGCTGCAGAAGTGATTGAACGACCAGCTCTGTAGCTAATAACACAATAAATACTCTCCAACATATTTTCTGCCACAACTTGGCCTCTCCAGTATGCTTGGACAGCATAAGCTAAACATTTCTGTAACCAGATAGATGTAGCCTGAAAACTGGGAACTCTTTCCTGTGCGGTTCATCTCAATCTGTAGAGAGCATTTCTTAACTTATTTACCAGTGTGCATAGCACAAGTGTAGCGAGGCTGTCATTCTAGTTTAGATACAAAGACTTAAAAACTGTGTTTTCTCTGCATTAGTCCTCTCCCTATTGCTACTGCTGACAAGAGGTCCCCTGGTTAGGTTTTTCTTTTTTTACTTTGGAAAGGTTCAGTAACACACCCAAACCAAAACCCATCATTCTAAGCATCTGCATACTATTTTGGATGGAGAAGAAAAGATACACTCCATTACAGCTTTTATAAGTATTTCACCTTTCAAGTTCACAGAATATGACCGTGCTAACAGAAACTGCAGCTATAAAGGAAGGAAGACTGACTCTTTGAAGAAACACTTAAAAAGTCACTAATAAAGTGGGAAATTTCCTAAGAATGAAGCCTAGATGCAAGAACACAGACACACGCAGAGATAACAAGCAGGTTTACTCTCTTAGAAGAGATGTCTCTATCTGGTCTTCTGAACCAAAAGGGGGCTGACTGACATTGCACTTACTTTGCTGCACCCCAAACAGATGAGACTGGAACCACCATTTCTTCATATGGAGTTGATATAAAAGCATTTAATTTGCAGGATTTTGCTGGAACCCCAAAATGTTATTTTACAAGAAAACAGGAGAATGCAATTAATATACTAATTAACTGAAGCTGTGGCTTGCACCATGACCCACCCTCGTACGACTGAATCACTGGCATGTTTGAGACAAGTTCCTTAATATCTAAAATCTGCTCAGGCACTCTGATTAGTGTCTTTTACAATCCCAAATCAAACGGTCCACATTTGTGATGGATCTGACGGATAGACTGGGGAGTGCAAGGAAAGCTAGTAAGGGTGAGGTACAAAAACAATCACTGATATACTTACAGTTGCATTTCTTCTGGACAAACCTAAGCTTGCACGCTGTTCGGTAGGTGGACAAACGAATGCGATCCAGATCTTGAGCCCCTGGTGGAAAAGAATAACAGTGACATTTGTATGGAATATGACCTGTGTGTGTCTTTGCCAGCAGGGAAGACAAAGAACAAAGAGAACACATGAGCTGACCCTCTTCAATAATTTTCAAGGCTCTCCTTTGCAGGGAGAGTAGAGAGGGGTGAAGAGAAAGAAGGGGAATGGCAGGAGCTACAGTGTTAAAAGACTTTTATAAAGGAAAGCAACAAATAGTCACTCCACTGTGTCTGTCACTTTGAAGAACAATCTGGTCAAGCTGCAGGCTAAAAGACACACTGGCCAGGCTCCAACAGCAGGGAAAATCTCTGCCTAATTTTAATATTTAACAACAAAGCTCATAACAAGTATCACTGGCTGGCATGCCAGATCAGAACAAGCTATTGCCAGCAAACCAAATTAGAAACAATATCATGCTGTAATGAAAAGACTGGCAGCAATCTGCAGAAGGGGGCAAAAATAACAGAAGCAAGTGAGCCTTTCTTGATTCTGCGGAGGTATGTCCCCTGCAACATAGACCTCAAAGGGTCAGCTCTCTACTTCTCACTGAGCTTGGCCCTGGATGCTCCAACTTAAAGATCTGGCAACATTTCCCAAGCACCCCTCCAGGAGATGAGATGAGTATAAACTGACTGGTAGCTAATTCAAATACAATTGCAGCACCAAGGGACCAAGATGGGGGCAGAACCTGGCACAGTGTCCTTAGGCCTCCTGCCACTGTGTTCTACTCCTAACGCTTCCCAAAAACCTCCAAAAGTAGATGAGGAGATTGTGATTTAAATCTTTCTCCTTCTTGGCTGGTATGTCTTACATAAAGAAGCATTGCCACATACCTACATCATGGCCTAAGAAATACAAGACCACACATTGTACCACACATTTCATAGAAATGCATTCATATGGCCTAAGAAATACAAGACTGCTTATTAATTGTACCACACATTTCATAGAAATGCATTCAATTAAATTTTTGGGTATTTGCTTCTTCACTGTGGCTGGCCCTTTAGCAGGAGTTGAACCTGTTTATTCAGTTAAGCAAGGTATCAAGTTAAAAAAACCCCAAACATATAGTTTTTTTATGGAACCATCTGCATGAAATACATCCAAACAAAGTACAATCAGGATGTAAGAGAAGTGGAGTGGAATATGGCTCTGTTCTACTTTTCCATGTGCTTCCTGAATGCCTTCTTTAAGATTCAACTTGGCATTACTGAGAACCTATGATCATAAATTGAGAATCTATGGATCATGAAAGGAGGGGCTGGCCACCTGGGAGCAATATAGGACTGTTGTCAGAGGATGTAGGGAGGCAATAAGGAAAGCTAAGGCCTCCTTGGAACTAAACCTTGCAAGACTTCAAAGAAAATAGAAAGGGCTTCTTAAAATACATTACAGATAGAACTAACACTAGAGGCAATATAGGCTCACTGTTGAATGAGGTGGGTGTCCTGGTGACAGAGGATATAAAGAAGGCAGAGGTACTGATGCCTTCTTTGCCTCTGTCTTTACTCCTGCAGACTCTCCCCAGAAGCCCCAGATTCCTAAAGCCCCAGAAGAAGTCAGGATGAAGGAGAAGTTTGCCTTGGTAGATGAGGATTGGGTCAGGGATCAGTTAGGCAATCTGGACATCCATAAATTGATGGGTCCTGATGGAATACACCCACAGGTGCTGAGGGAACTGGTGGAGGTCATTGCTAGACCACTCTCCATCATCTTTGGTAATTGTGGGCAACAGGAGAAGTGCCTGAGGACTGGAGGAAAGCAAATGTCACTCCAGTCTACAAGAAGGGCAAGAAGGAGGACCTGGGTAACTGTAGACTGGTCAGCCTCACCTCCATCCCTGGAAAGGTGATGGAACAACTTGTTCTTGGCACTGTCTCTAGGCATATCAAGGATGAGCAGGTCATCAAGAGCAGTCAACATGGTTTTACCAAGGGAAAGTCATGTTTGACCAACCTTATAGCCTTCTATGAGGAAGTAACTAGGTGGATAGATGATGGTAGGGGGGTAAATGTGGTTTGTCTTGATTTCAGTAAAGCATTTGACACTGTCTCCCACAACATCCTTGCAGATAAGATGATCGAGTATGGGTTTTGTGATCAGGTAGTGAGGTGGATCATGAACTGGTTGAAAGGAATAAGTCAGAGAGTTGTGGTCAATGGGACAGAATCCAGTTGGAGGTGTGTGACTAGTGGAGTCCCTCAGGGGTCGGTACTGGGACCGGTGCTGTTCAGTATTTTCATCAATAGAACAGAATGTGCCCTCAGCAAGTTTGCTGATGACACTAAGCTGGAAGGAGTGGCTGACACACCAGAAGGCTGTGCTGCCATTCAGAGAGACTTAGACAGGCTGGAGAGGTGCGCGGGGAGAAACTTGATAGAAATTCAACAAGGGCAAGTGTAGAGTCTTGCATCTGGGGAAGAACAACCCCATGTACCAGTCCAGGTTGGGGGCTGACCTGCTGGAGAGCAGTGTAGGAGAAAGGGACCTGGGGGTCCTGGTGGACAGGAGGATGACCATGAGCCAGCAATGTGCCCTTGTAGCCAAGAAGGCCAATGGCATCCTGGGGTGCATTAGAAAGGGTGTGGTTAGTAGGTCAAGAGAGGTTCTCCTCCCCCTCTATTCTGCCTTGGTGAGGCTACATCTGGAGTATTGTGTCCAGTTCTGGGCCCCTCAGTTCAAGAAGGACAAGGAACTGCTTGAGAGAGTCCAGGGCAGAGCTACAAAGGTGATTAAGGGAGTGGAACATCTATCTCCCTGATGAGAAAAGGCTGAGTGAGGAAAGGCTGAGGGAGCTGGGTCTCTTTAGCTTGGAGAAGAGGAGACTGAGGGGTGACCTCATCAATGTTTACAAGTATGTAAAGGGTGAGTGTCAGGACTATGGAGCCAGGCTTTTCTCAGTGATGACCAGTGATAGGACAAGGGTCAATGGGTGCAAACTGGAGCATAGGAGGTTCCATGTAAACATCAGAAAAATCTTCATTACTGTGAGAGTGACAGAGCACTGGAACAGGCTGCCCAGAGAGGTTGTGGAGTCTCCTTCATTGGAGACATTCAAAACCCACCTGGACACCTTCCTGTGTGATGTGCTCTGGGTGACCCTGCTCTGGCAGGGGGGTTGGACTAGATGATCTTTCGAGGTCCCTTCCAACCCCTAAGATTCTGTGATTCTGTGATTATTGGAGTGGCTGCTCAGCTGCACTGTTGTACATATGGCCATGTCAGCATTGTTCACTCACATTTCCTTTAACAATTTATCATAGTTTGGACCAAATTTTTTCAAAAGTGCTCTCACCCGTGAGATGAAAAGGAGGATGTTACTGTCCCCTCTCTCCAGCCTCTGCTCTTTTCCTGACTGGATTCTCCCACACCATCCCAGGGCTCCCAGATACTCCTTTTTTCCATCTAGTTGTCTTAACATCAACTGTTCCTAGGAGAAGCTATCCTTAACTACTCAACACCAGGTCTGGAAAGTGTCTCTATTTTTTTCATCATAAGCTTTATTGTTAAATTACACAGGTTTTTCTCTTCTCCATGAGTATCTCATTGACAGCTTTTGGAAAACTGGAAGAACTGGAAAATCATGAAGAGGTTCATCTTGAGTGCACTCACATGGCAAGTCTGGGACAGCCAGCATTGGTTCAGGAAGGGCAACCCGATCTTCTATGAGCAGGTGACCTGCCTGGTGGATGAGGGAAGAGCTGTGGATGTTGTCAATCTAGACTTCAGTAAAGCCTTTGACACCATCTCCCATCTTCCTGGAGAAGCTGGCAAATCATGGCATAGACAGATGCATTCTTTGCAGGGTAAAACACTGGCTGAATATTGTTTTTTTGGGTGGGTTATATTGTTCCCTCCCTTTTCCCCCTCGTTGATGGTTGGACTAGGCAATCTTAGAGTTCTCTTCCTACCATGACAACTCTGTGAATCTGTGTGACTTAACAGAAGATTATACTGATTACGCTGCTAGTTCACAGAAGTTTGTAATTTGAAACCAGAAAACCACAGAATCACTGAATCACAGAATTATCAGAGGTGGAAAGGACCTCCAGAGATCATCTAGTTCAACCCCTTGCTAAAGGAGAATCATCTAGAGCACATTACACAGGGCTGCATCCAGGCTGCATCTTCAATATCTCCAGAGAAGAGGACTCCACAACTTCCCTGGGCAGCCTGCTCCAGTGCTCTGTCACCCTCACCATAAAGAAGTTTTTCTTCCTATTTAAATGGAACTTCCTATGTTCCAGTTTATGCCCATTGCCCCTCATCCTGTCACTGGAAGAGTCTGGCCCCAACCTTCCTCCTTGCACCCACTGTTTAGATACTTATAGGCATTAATAATCTCAGCCTTCTCTTCTCCAGGCTAAAGAGCTCCAGCTCTTTCAGCCTTTCCTCATAAGGGAGATGATCCAATTCCCCAATCATCTTTGTTGCCCTTTGCTGGACTCTTTCTAGCAGTTCCCTGTCTCTCTTGACCAGGGAAGCCCAGAACTGGATGCAGTTTTCCAGGTGTGGCCTCACTAGGGCAGAATAGATGGGGAGGATGACCTCTCTTGACCTCCTGGCCACACTCTTCCTAATGCACCCCAGGATTGCTGGCTCGTGGATAATACCTCTTTTGAAAGAAAAGGAAATTAAAGTCAAAGTAAACTTCTTTAAATACAGGAAAAATCACATAGTGGCCCAAATTTAAAGTAAGAGTCAAACCCATCTGTTCTTGTTCAGAATAAATTTTCTACTTAAAAAGGCAGGAAAAGTTCGAATTTTCCTTTTATTTTGCTGTCCTGTGTAGTCTGGAACATGACTCACTTTCTGAAAGTATTGTGAGGTTTTAATCACAGACTTGCAGATATGACTGCAAGAACCTAAACCACTGACAAAATTCTCTATATTATGAGTTTTCTTCCTCTAACATCAGCACATTGTGGAGTTTAACCTTTTACCAGAAGCTTATGTTATGATGTTAAGAAGCTTCGCATGGCCCACAGTATGTAGGGTGTGTGGAGCACATGGTTTTTGTTACACATGGATCATGTGGGTTTGCTCAAAGCTGAGGGCACCTGAATGCAATACCAGGTTGAGCTTCTGTTTCAGTGAAGAACACCCCTTATACATACAGGAATCCAAGGGATCCTCTAAATGTAAAATTCAGTGTTTGATGAATATGGACATTTCTTTGCTTAAAACGTATTTAGTTTTTCATAAAGATTTAATATTTTCCTTTCTTTTTACCAAGCTGGAACCCAGTTCTCTGTGTGCATGTGTAATTGGAGAACAGGAGGAGGAAGGGATGAAGCAAATAGAAAAGGGAAGCACATGTGAGATAAACCAGACTCAAGTAAATATATCAAAACATTAAAACATGAAAGAAAAAATAGTAATTGTAACTATTTGTGTGCAGTATGGGAAAATAGTTCCTCCCTCACCTCCAACTGCTGATTCTAAGTTTTCCAGACACCTCCTTAACTCCTCCAAAACAATCCAACAACAAAATAGCCTTCAAAACTGTGGGAACAAACCATAAATCCTCACAGCAAAGTCTTAGGCAATTACCTTCCATTTCAGGAATGCTTCAAACTGAATTAAGTTAATAGAAGTTGTGTTATTGACTTTAGCTGATACAAGCTTAAATTCTCTGTATAATTCCAATTAAAAGTATAGTATGGTCTGATAATGGGCAAATGCATCATCCTTTTTTCTTGTTTTTCCTTTTTTCCCCTTTTCTTCTAGCCAAAGAACAATCCCTCCCTTTACCATGATGCCGTACCCAAGGGACATGAGAAATATCCATCTGAGTTACAACAAGACTTGTGTGATATTGAAATAATTACAGGATGCAACAGAGCTAGAGAAGCAGTGGATCAGGCCAAGACCATTCTCAGGAGGCCATCTGAATGAAAAGTCCTTAATCTGGTGAGCTCAGGAGTGCAGATGTAGGGAATTCAGTCACCTCTGAGGTCACCACTGAAGAACAGTCCTGAGCACATTTAATTCACCAGCACAGACCTGGCCTTTCAGAGTGCACAGCTGCCCAGCTCCCAGCAGTGCTCATCTTGGTCTCCCCCACGAGGTGGCGAGGACGGGGGAGATGTTCTGTCATGTTTTACTACATTGCAAGGGACAAATAATAGGAAGCTTAGTAATTACAGACAGAACTTGGGTAAATCTAGTAGCAGGGTGACAGTCTCAAATCTCTTACATAATAGAATTTCCTTGAAAAATGGTGGATTGTTTTTGAGAGGAATATGAGATGATTGTCAAGAGAACTGCAGGAACACTGCTAGTATAGTACATCCCTGACACACTACTCTGCAGGGAACACAAAGCTTCACTAGAAACTATAAAAAATGTACTTAAGTCGGGTATGTAGTATATGACTCTCTGTTCTGTGTCTGGCTGGGGTGGAGTTAACTTCCTTTATAGCAGCCTGCGTGGTGCAGTGTTTTAGATTTGTGGCTAAAAAAAAGTTGATAACACACCAGTGTTCCAGCAATGGCTGAACAGTGCTTGCACAGCATCCAGGCCTACTCTTCCCCTTCTCAGAGGCAGCTGGGGGTGGGCAAGAGGTTGGAAGAGGACACAGCCAGGACAGATGATCCTACCTCACCAAAAAGATAGTCCACACCATATAATATCATGCTCAACTATAAAACTGGAGTAGGGAACGAAAGGGGTGAGGAGTTTTGTTTTCCAAGGTGGACATTGCTGGGAGACTGGCTGAGCACTGGTCTGCTCTTGAGGTGGTGAGCTACCACATTTGCATCACTTGCTGATTTTTTTTAATTTTGTTTTCCCTCTCTTCCCATCACTTAATCAACTGCCTTTACCTCAAGCCATGAGCTTTCTTGCTTTTGCTCTCCCTATATTCTCTTATGTCCTGCTGGGCGCTGGCTGGGGATTAAGCAAATGGTTGCATGGGTGCTTAGCAGCTGGCTGGGGTCAACCCACTACAGATAGCCCCCTAAAAGATGTAGTCTTCTAGAGACCTTTATCACTTTTCATTGCTACCTGTGTATTGCAGCATTTTTGCCTCAAGAAACTATTGATAAAAATACTACAATCACAAAATCTGATGTAGAAAATCCTTCTCTCCTGCTATGTGATCAAATCAGCCCATTTTCGTCTACTTTTGGTCCCATGACACTAAACCATTTGTGAAATGCAGGTATCAGTTACTCGAGGTAGAAAGCTTGCATAATGTTTACTGACACTGCATTGCAACTGGCTTGGTCTGTCACAGCAAAACATTTCTAGGAAGTACTTACGCATTTCTGCAAACAGCTGCCTTCTCTCTGCCATGGTATTTCCTCTTTTCCCACAATCTTCAATCATTCTGAAAAACAAAATCATGTGAAAATATTGAGCATTATTCCCAGCCTGAATATATGTACAAAAGCATCCGTAATCGATCCCAAGGAACCTTTGATGCTGACTGGTGCTCCACGTGTACCCAATGCCTTTTGCGAGTCTCTCTGTGCCATGGTTTGCAGAGAAGCTGGTCCCCAAATTGTCCTCCATTCCCTAGACTCTGCTTTCAAGCATTTGTTTTCCCCTTCTCTCTCTCTCTCTCTCTCTCTCCCAAAGGCAATGTTCAGTTTTTCTGCTTGATGTAACTAACTGACTTACATAACACAAGCTCTGAAATTCATTTTAGGTTTTCTTAAATATGGAATCTTCAGTTTAAATTATGTAAGAGAGAAGAAATCATAAAAGTTTTGGATATTATTTTATAGTTTAGAAAATGCCTTTCTAGCTAATTCTGGATGGAAGAGACAAAAAAAAATGCAACACAACAGCAACTAAACCTCTACTCCACAACATAATACTGTTTACTCAAGCAAATACAGTCCAAGTATTCATTCAAATCCAAGACAGTACGGCTCTAATTAAATGAGTTCCAGCAAAAGGCTCGCAAGTTGGAAGATATTTTCCTTCAGTTTTCAGATGTAAAAATCTTCAGAATATTTTTGAAGAGTGCTACTGCTGGATACAGAAAAGAGGCAGCTCCCTTCAGAGCCAGCATTCAAACGACAGAAGACTAAAGCCTTCAGAGTAAAGATAAACAGCTTTAGCAGCACTCAAAAAATGAAGCCAGTGTCAGCATCACCACTTCCTATGGGTAATTACTCTAGCAAACCAATATCCTTTCCTCCCTGCCAAGCCTTGGTAGGGCTGCTGACCTGCTTTGTAATTTATATTCTTATCTCAACTAGACTCTGTAAAACAACACTGGACCACCTGGGATATAAAGGGATGCTCTACAGAGGCCTGCAAACCAAAATATCCCACCGCTTCCTATAGCAAACCCATATAAAATATAACAGGTAGGATAACAGTACTGGATGCTGAAGTCTACTATCACCAAAGGACTCAGCAAAGAAAACAGTTCCCTTTTATTTCTTAGAGAAAGACAATCACATAAGAGGTGTTTGTTAGTTGTTTTGTTGTTTTGTTTTTTTTTCCCCATCCAAAATGCACCATTCCAATGAAGTTGGTACATAGCAACTGCCTTTTCCAAATAGCCTATTCAATTCTCAGAGTACTGATAAAGGCTCTGCTAAAGTGTTACCTATGGTGGACATTTTGTGATATGAGCAGCAGTCCCACTAGGAAGTGCACAAAGGATATGGCTACAGCCTGCTTGCAGAGATATTCAGATTCATCTGTTTTGGCCAGGAGTGGTACAGATGTGTGCAGCATGGCATTAAGTCGGAGCTAACACATCCTGCCTTTCTGCAGAGGTAACAGCTTTCAGCACAGTGCTTTACAGAAGTGGCCACCTCATCTCTGATCTGGAGGCAGATGGAGTCCTGCTAGCTTAGAGGTATCAGGGAAGGCTCACATCTACCTGCAAAATACGATGTACCTTAAGATATGCCAGACCCAACCTGCATTCCAACTAGACAGCAAGAAGTAATATGTTTTGTACCTGGATCAGCCTTGAATCTCTGCCCATAAAAGATTAAAAACCCAGCTTGAGTTGTCCACTTCTTTCTGCTCCTAACCTAACTTATACTAGGAGACAAATTTGCTGTGGTAAATGACCAGAACTTGCAGGACAGGTGGGTTAATAAAGCCCTTTGACAAGATTACATCTTTTACCAGGCAGGGCAGTTGAGTGAGTACTTCAGAGCAAATACAATTTTAGATTAAATTCTATTATCTGTAGCGTGAGTCACAGGCCTTCATAATTTTCTCTGACTTCTCCTGTATTAAGAATTTTTCTACATAGAGCGTGAAACTGGTTTTCAAACGACTTGCTGTTCACATTAATCGACCAAGATTGAGTTATTTTTATTTTGGCACAAAGATTACATCATGTTTCAGTTTCTTGATACAATTTACACTTAAATCTTACAGTCTTTTCACCATTTATTGATGTGATGTTTTCATTCCACCATTGTTCTCTAACATTCAGGAAATCATCACTGGTCACTCAGTGATTGCCACAAGCTTTAATGAAAACAAAAGGGGTGCAGCTTTGTTCTCCCTTCCCTCATTTGGCCTTTTGGATAAAAATAATCCTTAGCTATTGCTTTTAAATATCTACAGAGCATCCATTGGAACATGCCCCACCTGTGACTTCAATCACTGTGTAGGAGAATTTTCCCTGTGAAAATGAAGGACAAAAAAGTATTTTTCAAATAATGCAATTGTACAGCAAGTTCTCCACTTCCTTTAGATAAGTGGAGGGAAAAAGTGTCCTTTCACTCAGGTAAAAATCATTAACTGGTTTTCCCTTTTGAGCAGCTCATCTTCCCCTTACTTTTCTTGTTGTTTATATTTATCCTTATACAAAATGTTCTCTGGACCTGATAATAATTTTCCAGAATGTCCCATTATCCACTGAAACCAAAGCACCCTTTTCTGCGTGGGGCTTATGGGGATTAGCAGGCCTGACAAATAACTTCATACTTATATATACACAACTCAGGCTTCCTTGGAGAGACAAGTAACTTTGCATTATATTTTTAAGACTCTGAGTGTGCCGGATATTTCACAGATTTTAAAACAGCCTTCATCCCAAATGACAATCCTAAAATCCTCTGCAATGGGATGTATGCCATTAAGCTAATGAGAACATTAGTGGTGGCAGTATTTTCAGATAGGCAACCTCTATTCTTCCTTTGCATCTTTTCCCAATAGAAGAAAAATTAAATGATGCTCATCAATATTGTTATTTTTGAGTTGACATTGATAGGAATTTATTCAACTGTGTCTTCCAAGCTTTTAATGTGTATTTTAAATCTAGAATGTGTTACAGCCCAGGCTCAACTAATGCCATTGGTCATGGGGGACCACATAGTGGCCTTCCAGTACCTGAAGGGTGCCTACAGGAAAGCTGGGGAGGGACTTTCTACAAGGCATGTAGTGATAGGACGAGGGGGGTTGGCTTTAAACTAGAAGAGGGGAGATTCAGGTTAGATATTAGGAGGAAATTCTTTCCTGTGAGGGTGGTCAGACACTGCCACAGGCTGCCCAGGGAAGCTGTGGAAGCCCCATCCCTGGAAGTGTTCAAGGCCAGGTTGGATGGGGCTCTGAGCAGCCTGGTCTGGTGGGAGGTGTCCCTGCCCATGGCAGGGGAGTTGGAACTAGATGATCTTTAAGGTCCCTTCCAACTCAAACCATTCTGTTATTCCATGATTCTATGGTTCTATGCCCAGGATGTGCTCAGCTCAGCTGAGCAGGGATGGCCGTCAGCACAACTGACTGCAGTCATGTTCCAGGATTTCTCATTTTGCCTGTAACATGGCAATTCACAGCAAAAAGATCCAACCCTACAATTCGTTGTACAGGGGAAAAGAGCAAATCACAAAGTGAACTTTATTGTACTTCACAAAACAGAATAAATTATCAGAGACAGAATTTTGAAAAATATTAACTAATGTAAACCCTTCCCATAGTAAGAATTAGATCACATTTGTCTGCTATTGATGTCTTCCATTATCTTTTTCCTCTCACTTTTCTCCCCAGGAAATAGCTCCTCCACTGAAGGTAGAGAGAATGCCTACTGTGCATCTAATTAAAATTCTTGTCACGAGCTAATTAGTAAGGTACCAATTAACAAGGTATTAAGTCTTCAACATATTACAGACATTCCAGAGCTGAAATCATTCCAAGCATAATGTTTGCAGCTTCTGAAAAAGATACTGTGAAGGTGTATTTTCTACCAGTGTTTCAAGCTGAAAACATTTATGACACTAGTAACACTTGAAAGGAAAAAATAAAGAAATAAACTAGTTTCAAAGAATTATAAATTGTTTGGATTGGAAGGGACCTTAAAGATCAAGTAGTTCCAACTCACCTGCATGGGCAGGGACACCTCCCACTAGAGGTGGTTGCTCAGAGCCCCACCCAACCTGCCCTTGAATAGTTCCAGAGAGGGAGTATCAATAGCTTCCCCAGACAACCTGTGCCAGTGCTTCACCACCTTCTCTGTAAAAAATTTATTCCTAATATCTAATCTGAACCTTCTCTCTTTTAGTTTAAAACTGTTGGGCCTTGTCCTATCACTACAGATTAATTTGAACTCTTTTTATTACCATTTCATCTTCTCGCGTATCAAGAATCAGAAGCATAACTGGTCTACTTTTTAATATACCTTATTTGTTTATAAAATCTGTGAGGGAATATAATATAATTTAGAAAGAAATGAGAAAGAAATGTTTTGTGTTTGTTTCTTTTTCCTCTGCTTTTGTGTTGCTTCGATATATGAGTAATGTAATAACCTCTCACACTTAAGTTTTTTTCTTGTTTTAGTATTTATAGGGTAAATATTGTATTTTATTAACCCCCATTTCATGTCATCTTTCTTGTAATTAAGTGTATTTCTATTTCTTGAGCTATCTCTACGCATGGTAAAAGCAATGCCTGCCACAATTACATCATTAGCTCCAAAAGGACATCAAAGCAACTGCCTGTCCACCTGGCAAAGGAGCTCCCTTCAGAGAGTTCTATACAGTTCACAGGAGTCCGTAAAAAACTCCCAACCTGACACACACACATGTACAGCTTGATGGCTGTGTCAAAAACCACCCTATTAACACTTCCACAAATCCCCAACTTGTTCACCTGTGACGGATGAAGTGCCCTGTGGAGGTGGGAAACATGCCAGGGAGGAAAATCGTCTGCTGAAATTGATTAACTGTGGCATGAAAAATTTATGAAGTCCCATGTGATTGTTGTGACACAGCCATGTGTTTGACAAAAGAGGTTCCAAATCCTGACCACTGACATTCCTGATGGTCTTTCAGGTTGGATAAAAGTTGGTTTTCCCACTGAAGCAGGCATAGAGGAAAAAGACAAACACTTGTCTCTGCTCTGGTCTTGTC